TTTATTTATTTATTTATTTATTTATTTATTTAGTGTCGCAACCCCTGGTATGCCCAAATATGGGAGGAAGCATACTGCTTCCTTTCTCTGTCTTATCGGCTCATCACAAGAAACCATCACGACAGAAAGCCATTATTTTTACTGTTGCCTTTGTTACATTTGTGTTGCATTTGTGCTGATAAATAAATAAAGGGAGACTAGTATAGATCTATTTTAAGCTATTTAGGGTATGGCTAGCTGATGAGAGCTAAATAGCTTGAAATAGATCTATACTAGTCTCCCTTTATTTATTTATCAGCACAAATGCAACACACACAGAAACACACACACACACACACAGAAACACACACAAAGACACACAAATATATATATATATAGATTTTCTATATATAGAAAATTCCTAGATTTTCACGGATACAGGTATGCAGGTTTTGGTCTATTCAGGTCTTTTCCCGTGTAAGCTTTGCTCGCATAGGGACAAGGCCGAAGACACCAGCCTGAGGATGACGAGTGTCGAAACATCGCCAAGATACTTCAAATTTTTTATAAATGTCTATGAAAAGTTTAATTTCTTCACAACTATTTTGTCTGCCTTCCCTTACAGCTTTTGAGACCTACAATAAGGTTTCCAGGTTTTGAACATAAAATTTGGGCAGCACTTCTATTAAGGTTTGAGGTTTCTGAATTTAGAGATATAGTACCTGAAAGAAAAAAAAGCAGAAGTCTAGGAAGTCAGAAAGTCTCCTTAAAATAAAAGAGAAAATAGAAATTTCCATTCACTTCTATAGAGTTTCAAGAAAAATGCACAATGTCCATTTTAATTTGTGCATAGAATGTAGTGAAAGTTTTCTAATCATCTTGTTATTTGTTTGTTGCCATAATTGACTTGCAATTAAAAAAACAATTTTATTTTCTACTCTTGTTCCTCCTATTAATATTCTCTCCTGTTTCATAGCAATGCAAGAGTGGAATGTACTACACCGTTAGATGCCACAGGGGATATGGGCAGCCATGATATTCTGGAAAAAGAGGGACATGAAAACCTGAGCCATGATTTCATCAATGGTACGACCAGTGGCAATGTGGAGGCTGCGCGGAGGCTGGCAAAGCGCCTCTATCATTTGGATAGATTTAAACGATCTGATGTGGCAAAGCATTTGGGGAAAAAGTAAGCTACAATTTTCTGCCTTGAATCTGTCAGAATGTTATGAATACGTCTGAGTTTCATTTCCTAATAACCTGATCTATGATTTTTCTTTCTCTGTTGAAGCAACGAGTTTAGTAAGCTTGTAGCTGAAGAATACCTCAAGTTCTTTGATTTCACGGACATGTCTTTGGATTACTCTCTCAGGTAAGAAGCCATATTCCCCATGTATTTTCCTGTATCATTTCTCATCCAAGGAAAATACTATACTTTAGTTATGTGTATCTAGATGCTGTACCATGGGTAAACTAGTGCTAAACTTGTGCCAACATCCCACTTCATTTGCATAATTTAAGTAGAATATTAGGTCCATTTTAACTCTTTTAAATGCCTGGGATACACACATACACACATATATATCATACTTATACCTATACATACCTTTCCAGATAAAGTTTTAAAAAATCATTCATTTTATTTATTTATTTCAGTGTTTCCTACCCATGGAAACTTGAAGTTGTGTTGGCTTCAACTCCCAGAATTCTCAAGCAATTCTGGAAGTTGACCTCTTCATATCTTAAAGTTGCCAGTGTTGGGGAACACTGATTTACTCATTTATCAAATATATACTATATAGCCACCTCAGGGATGTCAAACTCAAGGCCTGGGAGGGTGCTTAGATCTGGCCTGCGGGGCTGCCCTGGAAACAGGGAAGGACTGGCCTGTGAGTGCCTCTGCCAGCAAAAACGGAGCTCGGGAGGGCTGGTTGCAGGAGGCCATTGCAGCTGAAAATGGACCTTGGGTGCCCATTTTCTCTAGAACATGTGGGTTGCCACAGGCGCTCCCGACATGAGTGATGTCGAGCTGGCCACGCCCACCCTTGCCAGGCCCACTCTGGTTCTCTGAGGTCAAACACAACCCTGATGCAGCCCTCAATGAAATTGAGTTTGACACCCCTGACCTAGCTCAATATATGACTCTGGGTGGCTCTCAAACAGTTGAAAACAGGAAAACACTATAACAATTACAACAATTTAAAACGATAAAAAGTATATAAAACTATAAAAATCATAAAATTCATAGCCACGGTAAGAAGTATTTGGAATCATTTCTGGTAAAAATGTACTGAGATAATTCAGATTTCTGTGTAAAGTATTAGTTATATTGCCTAACTTGAGCAATAATGATCCATGTGACAGTCTAATGCACCGAACTGTATTTTGGGAGGTATCAAAGGAAATTGTTTTTGTTAACCTTTCCTATGAAGGATTCTACAGGGACGCGGTGGCTCAGTGGCTAAAATGCTGAGCTTGTCGCTCAGAAAGATCAGCTGTTCGGTGGTTTGAATCCTTAGCGCCGCATAACGGAGTGAGCTCCCGTTACTTGTCCCAGCTTCAGCCAACCTAGTTCAAAAGCATGTAAAAATGCAAGTAGAAAAATAGGAACCAACTTTGGTGGGAAGGTAACAGTGTTCTGTGCACCTTTGGTGTTTAGTCATGCCGGCCACATGACTATGGAGATGTCTTCGGACAGCGCTGGCTCTTCGGCTTTGAAATGGAGATGAGCACCGCCCCCTAGAGTCGGGAACGACCAGCACATATGTATGAGGGGAACCTTTACCTTTATGAAAGATTCTATGGATAATTCAATACCTGTATCCCATTAAAAGTCTGCAATCAAGTGATCTATGATTTTTTTTAGTATTACTTTAATTCAGACTGAATTCTAGACTATAAAGAGATATGTTTCTTCTTCTCCTCCATCCATTTTCTGGATTATTTATTTTAACTGCTTGCAACTGTCCAGGCAGAAATATTTCTCATCTCCTGTTACTAGGTCATTCCAACTGGAGATTCCAAAAATTATAGGAGAGGCCTTCAATATACAATGCACCTGTTTTACTACAAAGCTCTATTTTCTCTTGTTACATCCAGAGAGAAATGAATGTGACATGGGCCTTGGAAAGCTGAATTGGAGTAGGATTTGGTCATATGTGCTCCTGCCTCTGCATGTGCCCGCTTTAAAATAGCCACAAATTAGGATGGACCTTCTGTGCAATTTGTTTTAGTTGGTGGGGTTTTTTCTTTGGACAGGGCTGGAAATGCACGGCACGGGCTTCATCAAAAGAAATTTGTTTATTTATTTTAAAAGGTTTTGTAAAGAAACAGTTTATTGTGCAGTTGTATGAGGTTGTGGAAGGAGAAGGAACAAGAAACAACAGCAGGGCTATGAAAGAAATATAAGGAAGTTAGATGAGAAAGCTGAAAAGTGATGATAGCTGTATCATTTTTTTTTTTAAAAAAGCACAACTGCTGTAGGTTGATAGACTTGAAGTCGTGTTTTTTTTGCAGGATGCACGCTCTCTGCTGGAAGACACATTTAAAGTAAGCCCAGCACCTAAGGAATCATCAACAGAGATTTCATGTAAACATGTTTAAGAAAATAGCTAATCCTACCTCTCCCTTTCCTCCTTGTTTTCTCACAGTTCCTTAGTCCGAGGAATTACAGCAAAGGTTGCTATATGTTTGCTATACCTACAGATATTTCTAGCAAGTATTTGCTAGCCTAAATTAGCATCTTTTTTATAGATAGGCAGTAGATTTTTAAGTCTTAAAATATACACCTCAGCTTTCTTTTCAAGTAAGATTAGTAGCTAAGTAGTAGCAGTGACTAAGCAGTCGTAATAACAATAATACTTTTTATTTATAGTATGCTTATAAAAATGCAGTATAGTATGACTGCCCCCCCTCTTAAATTTAGATCAGCACAGACTTTAACATAATTTTACAAAACAGTAAAAACTGAGCTGTTCCGTACGGTCTTTGATACTGAAGGCAACTGTGCTTGTGTTGATAGCATCGGTAGTTATACAATACAGTGGTTTTTATTGTAACACACAGTGATAACTGTAACAATACCCACGTGGGATACATACTTCATTCAAGCTATCTTAAATTCTGAAAAAGATATCTTTAATTTATAACCTTAGCATAGGAATATTTGACATTTTCCCTCCAACTTTAAATTTCTTTTTAGGACATTTTTTAAAGCCTTTTCCCTCATCGGAGAAACTCAGGAAAGAGAGAGAGTTCTAATTCATTTCTCCAGCAGATACCACCAATGCAACCCCAGTGCTATCTCCACACAAGGTAACCATCCTTTCACGGTTTTAAGATAACGCTTGTCTTATTGTCACTTTTACTCAGGCAGACTTCATGATGGCTATTTTAATGTTATAATCACAGTTGACCATCCCACAAACCCAAAGCAAACCATCTCCAATCCAGGATGTCAATAAACCCAAACTAGCTAGGTGAAAATGCAGTCCAGTCAGTTATAAAATATTCATGGCCATCATTTGTTTTTGGAATTGAGTATTCATGGAGTTTGTTGCTCAACCATTAGAATCCTTTTCTGGTATTTGCATAAAGAATATCTTTCACTGAGGCTGTCTTATCATTTATTGCCCAATTAAGGAGGCAAGCATGATGGGTGGGAATCACTATTATGATTGGCTTGTGAGGTTTTCCTCTTTGTATAGCTTTAATTATACAAATCTACCAGTGGTGAAATTCATTTTTTTTTTACTACCGGTTCTGGGGGAATGGCCTGGTGGGCGTGGCAGGGGAGGATACTGCAAAATCCCCATTTTCACCCCACTCTGGGGCCAGCCAGAGGTGGTATTTACCTGTTCTCCAAACTGCTCAAAATTTCCACTACTGGTTCTCCAGAACCTGTCAGAACTTGCTGAATTTCACCCCTGGAATCTACGCAAACACTTTGGAGGCAACACTGAATCAATTCAGCAAAACAAATCTTGTTTTCTTTTTTCTTCTGCTTTATTTAAAACAAATATGTATGGACACACATGCATACTGTACATTGCTGTGAGCATTTTATAATTTGAAATTGACTTTGTAGAAGGCTTATTGAGATAAGAGGAAAAATAGAGGCCACCCCAAAAGGCAACTGGACTTTTTGTTTTTCCTTGAAGATATTTAGCTTCTCATCTAAGAAGCTTCTGCAGTTGTGACTGAGTTCTGACTGAAGAAGCTTCTTGAATGAGAAGCAAAATGTCTTCAGGGAAAAACAAAGAAATCCAGTTGCCTTTTGAAAAAGCACTTTTGGGACAAGCATGGCTGGATGACTGAGAATCTCGATGGATAAAAGCAGAGATCATGAAAGATTAGTAATCAGGTACATGCATATAAAGCGGACTCAAGCTTGTAGCTTCATGGACACAATACGCTTTGTGGAAGCAGCAAAGGAGAACAAGGAAGAGGTTCTGAGACAGGTTCCTGACAGAAGTGTCTAATACGGAGGCTGCCTCAAAGGGTCCGATATGACAAAAGCAGTATTATGCTGTGTGGTGCAAATTCTGCACATTTTCTGCATGCCTCATGACATTGTGCCACAATGGCAAGATGCTGCTTTTGCCATTTTAATGAAAGCTTTGGAACTAAATTCAACTTTAGCTGGTTTCAATTAGATGGAGCCTGGCTAAATCTGCTGGTTTAACTGGATTGCAGGCCCAATTGCAAAAAGTAAAACAGAAGGATGTGGTGGCTCAGTGACTAATATGCTAAGCTTGTCGATCAGAAAAGTCAGCAGTTTGGCGGTTCGAATCCCTAGTGCCACGTAACTGAGTGAGTTCCTGTTACTTGTCCCAGCTTCTGCCAACCTAGCAGTTCGAAAACGTGTAAAAAATGCAAGTAGAAAAATAGGGACCACTTTGGTGGGAAGGTAACAGTGTTCTTTGTGCCTTTGGCATTTAGTCATGCTGGCCACTTGACCACAGAGACGTCTTTGGACAGCGCTGGCTCTTCAGCTTTGAAATGGAGATGAGCATCGCCCCCTAGAGTCACAAATGACTAGCACATATGTGTGAGGGGAACCTTTACCTAAAACAAAATCAAGATCAGATTCTGCAGTTGAGCTACTGCTAGACATAAACACCTATGTGGTGGATCTCCAAAACGTGGCTTATGGTGGCTCTCCAGTGACAAACAAAATCAGGCTGGTCTCCTCTCTCTACCAGTGATTTTATTTCATGAGATATCTCTTTCTTGATTATTGTCATATATTTCCTTATAAGGAAACTGCTTTGGAGAGTGTTAATTAGGCTGCGGGGGGGGGGGGGGGTCCATCTTAATTGGCATCATTCGTTTATAAACAGATGGGAAAAGTGGGACGTGTGATTTTCTTCTTTCCTGTGTGGCTTTCTATATGTCATGCTTTGGGTGTTTTTAATCCTACAGATGGAGTCCATTGCCTCACATGTGCAATGATGCTGCTTAACACTGATCTTCACGGCCATGTGAGTATTGTGCAAACTTAGCACCGCTCCTCAAACTACGGGATGGTCTTCTGATGCGTATCTGAAGTTTCTGTGCTCAGTGGGCCCAGACACTGCAGGCTTGTTTTTTAACAGCTTCAAAGAGTTGTGAAGTCATCTATGCAAAGGCAGAAAGTAACCTTTTACAAGAGGATTGTAAAAAAGGCAAGCATTTGTAGTTCGGAATGCACCGAATAAGAGGGAAAGAAGTTACAAAGCCTAATAGCCTGTAAAAAGTGCACTTAGCAAAGATGGAACAAAACCATTTGGCAAAGGCAGGGAAACATCTGAATGTTCCTCCACAAAATGCGAGACCACCTACTGCCACCAGTAACCTCCCATCGTCCAGTGCGATCCCACAGAGTTGGCCTCCTCAGGGTGCCATCGGCCAGACAGTGTCGGCTAGTGACCCCCAGGGGAAGATCTTTTCTGTGGGAACATCTTCCCTCTGGAATGAACTGCCCCTGGAGCTTCGTATAATCCCCAACTTCCGGTCCTTCCGACATGCCCTAAAAAGTTGGCTTTTCCAGCAAGCCAGCCTGGCCTGAACAAAACAAAACAAAT